ACTCTGACGCACGACCGTGGCTGGGTTTCATAGGTAACCACGTGCACAGTCTGGTGTATAACGGAGGCCAGAGAATGTCTCCTGACTAGCCCTGTGCTGAACGTATCAACTCACATTTGGCCAAAGCATCTTCCAGATGGAATCCACTCTTTTCATAGAATCATAGAATAATAGGACTGGAAGGGACCTCGAGAGGTCATCGAGTCCAGCCCCCCGCCCTCAAGGCAGGATCAAGCTCCGTCTACACCATCCCTGACAGATGTCTATCTAACCTGTTCTTAAATATCTCCAGAGAGGGAGATTCCACCACCTCCCTTGGCAATTTATTCCAATATTTGACCACCCTGACAGTTAGGAATTTTTTCCTAATGTCCAATCTAAACCTCCCCTGCTGCACTTTAAGCCCATTACTCCTTGTCCTGTCCTCAGAAACCAAGAGGAACAAATTTTCTCCTTCCTCCTTGTGACACCCTTTTAGATATTTGAAAACCGCTATCATGTCCCCCCTTAATCTTCTTTTTTCCAAACTAAACAAGCCCAGTTCATGAAGCCTGGCTTCATAGGTCATGTTCTCTAAACCTTTAATCATTCTTGTCGCTCTTCTCTGTCCCCTTTCCAATTTCTCCACATCTTTCTTGAAATGTGGTGCCCAGAACTGGACACAGTACTCCAGCTGAGGCCTAACTAGTGCAGAGTAGAGCGGCAGAATGACTTCACGAGTTTTGCTTACCACACACCTGTTGATACAACCTAGAATCATATTTGCTTTTTTTGCAGCAGCATCACACTGTTGACTCATATTCACCTTGTGGTCCACTATGACCCCTAGATCCCTTTCTGCCATGCTCCTTCCTAGACAGTCGCTTCCCATCTTGTATGTATGGAACTGATTGTTCCTTCCTAAGTGGAGCACTTTGCATTTCTCTTTATTAAACTTCATCCTGTTTACCTCTGACCATTTCTCTAACTTGCTAAGGTCATTTTGAATTATGTCCCTATCCTCCAAAGAAGTTGCAACCCCACCCAGTTTGGTATTATCTGCAAATTTGGTGGGGTCTGATGTCAGGAGTGTCAAATTATGAGCCTTTTACGGTATCTCAGGCTCAGCAGGTACGTTTGGTGGCTAAATTCTCCACTGATTCTGTCTATAGGGAACATGCAGCATCCCTGTATCCCAGTTGGGCTAGGCTTTGTGGCCAGGGCTTAGGCAATGAAGCATATGGTATCTTGGGGCAGTGGGGCTTTCCCTTCAGTTGCTCCTCCTGACTGCTGTGGCATGGGGTTCCCAGGCAGCATGCAGCAGAGAGAGGAAGCAGCCTAATTTGAATGTAGAGAGGTGAGGAATGAGTTGGGGTGGGGAAGAGGAGTTCATTTGGAGCAGGAAAGGGTCTTGGATAGCAAAAGTGCAGGAGCTAGAAAGAGCAGGCGGCATGAGCCAGGGGATGGATTGGTGCAGAAAGGGAGGAGGAATATCAGTGAACATATAAGAACATAAGAATGGCCATACTGGGTCAGACCAAAGGTCCATCCAGCCCAGTACCCTGTCTGCCGACAGTGGCCAATACCAGGTGTCCCAGAGGGAGTGAATCGAACAGGTAATGATCAAGCGATCTCTCTCCTGCCATCCATCTTCACCCTCTGGTGGTGTGGGAATATTTTTAAAAGTGAGGGTGCTCAGCTTCCTTACTCCCATCCACCCCCCAGGTGAGGCTGGGAGCAGCACCATGGCACGCAGGGCTCAAACCAGGACCCCAACGTGTGAAGCTGGCAGCAAAGCCCCTGGTACACAAGATGGCACCTGAGAACCCAGCATGTGCAGCTCTTGGTGCATGGGGCTGGCAGTTGGGACCCCGGCTCTGGGTTGAGAGCTCAAGGATGCTGCAGCACCCCTGGATACACATTCCTACTACGTCTACACAGCTTCCCTCTTCTGCAAAAGCCTATGCAAATGAAGCACAGGTTAGCATAGTGCCACACTTCATTTGCATAAGTAATTAGGAGCCATTTTTGTGCAAGAGATTTTTGCGCAAAAAGGCACTATCTACACAGCGCCTTTTTGCGCAAAACTCCTCTCTTGCGCAACAGTGAAAAGTCCTGAACTTGGTCCAGATGCAAATACCTCCAAGGTTTAGGTGAAGTTGGACACAGCCTCAAGTTTCAAGGGTATTTGTATGTGGGGTTCAGTTTGGGCCCAGGTTGATTTCATGTCAGTATTTGCACTATGACTAAGAACCAGGAGCATAAAGAAATGAAGCCAAGAAGAGGTAGAGTTGTGTAGTCTGAGAAAATAGCAGTGATATGTGAAATGTGTTTCAAGGCACTTTATCTTATCCAAATGTGAAGGTCAAATATTTGCTTCTCCCATGTTTTCCACCAACAGGAAACATCCCCCAAGTGTAAAGCACAAGCTAGTGAAATGAAAAAAAGGAACACAAATATTTATCATTTTCTTTCTCATTAGCATTTCTTGCTCATGAGTCAGAATGTGTGGTGTGCGTCTCTTCTGTCAATGCTAACTGCCTAGCTCCTTTGCCAACCCTTTGACAAAGTACAGATAATAAT